TAAATAGTCATAGAATTACATTTTTAGATCTGATGCCACTTAAGCAAATGTTTTCAGTAGCACATTTATGTATCTAACACATAACAGAGATGTCAAGTGTTTGCAACATGTACAATGACCAATACTTGTCCAAGACTGGGTCTCTCAAGCCAAATAGTGGCTCCTTTGTAAATGACTAGGTGTGGATAGGTACTCTGTTCATATATATGATTTTACCTATAGAATCAGCAGCCACTATGGCAAAGGTACAGTCTAAACAACACAGCCATTCTTTTGTAGTCTTTAGAAACTATGCTTTCTCCATCTCACACTTTTGAAGTCATACAATTGGTTTGTACAAAGGGCATTTTCTCATTTGTGATCAGATAACAATCACTCTTTACCATAAAGAACTCCCATCAAATAGCAATTCACCTCCAATCCCGTCCCTCTTCCAACACAATGAAGCAAAACACAAAGGGTCAGGCAGGAAGAAGACAAGGTTGGGGGCACAATCACAGGATGCTGTGTTTGTTAGTCATCTTTTAGTTCAACAACTGAGAAAGTGCTTTCCAGAACCCAAGACTTTCAGTCTGGAAGGGCTATTCCACATCAATTATTATCAATTACCCACTTCTTACAGATTAGAAAGGCTACTGAGGTTCAGAAAGTCCCCCAGGAAGGTCCCCAAGAAATCTGGGGAAAGTGAGGTTTAGCACTTAGGCCTCATCTAAAATGCTCACCCAATGTTCTCATCTAATACTCTTACAACAAGCTTATCCCAGAACTCTGGTCTCCGTTTTTTTTTTTTTTTTGTTTTTTTTTTTAAGATTTATTTATTCATACAGAACTGGGGTACAAGCCAGAGATGCGGAGGGAGATAGGATTCACCAGGGACAAAGTGGGGAGCAGAACAGGCAGATCAATAAGTACATTGCTGAGGGGAGCAGTGGGCAGACCAGGAGAGGTCTGCTATGCCATGTGGTCACCTCTGGGGGCACAGCGGGGATCGAACTTATGCGGAAGTGGCTTAAGCTTCTTAGTGCAGTGCTTTTACCCGCTACGCCACCAGGGAGGGCCCTGGTCTCAGGTATTTTAAACGATGAATTTTAGTATTATTTTAAGAGAGGAATTTCTTGTAGTGATTATTAGCACTAAGAAATATTGGTGAAAGTTAATAGTCTAATTAATAATTTGCAAAAAATCTCAGTGTCTTAAATGTCCTTTGTCTACCTTTGTGAGGATGGTGTCACCCATGAGAATAGACAGGAATCACTTAACTTTATACTCATGTCCAAAGTTCGGATGTCTTTTGGTCACGTATGCCATTGCTGCAACCTGAATAAAGTGAAAATCTATGAGTCTCCAGGAGTCAGGCTGATAATTGGCTTGCTTGTGCATTCAGCATGCACCTTCTGAGCACAATGGTCCCCCAGCACTTTATAAGGATGCCTGGCTATATTACAAAACACTTCACAATGCTCATGGTCTTCCAACTGCCATGTCTCAACCAAGCTGACTACACAGTCTGCCAGAGTTCTATTCCCACAGTGGTTCATCTGGAGAAAGATGGTTTCATGATGACTTTCATTTTCTCCAGCAGGGTAGGCAATAGTTTTCTCTTTGAGGATATTTTTTCCCCCTTATTCCAAGAGCTATCAGCTCCCTCCCTTCTCTTTCATGATACCCTAAATCATGACCTACAAAGCATTACCCAAAAGTCTGAAAGTGTTGGATGACGTGCACATGTATACACAGCCCACTAACAGTTAAAACATTCTAACACAGCTTTCTCAGACCATCCAGAACTAATTCCACACATTTGGATGTTTCATCTCTTATTAGATTGACTAAGTGAAGTGAGCAGGCTTCAGGCTCACAGAGTGGATTTTAGCTTGCTGAGAGCTGGCTGCTAGCACTGGCTAGCTGAAAATTTCCTCATTGCATTAATAAAAACATGAGCACCCTTTCAGAGGAGTTGATTAAGTGCAGAGGTTAAGACAGAGACCTGCTTTGCATGGAGTTGAATTCCTTTCCAAGTTATGCATGACAGGTAAGGTTTGGATACTTCAAATTCTAATGTCTCTTTTGTTAGCATTGAGTAGAGTCAAGTAATGAACCTCAAATTCCAACATTTCAAGTGATCTTGATTACACGAAGCAATGAATCGAGGCAATTATCTGATCATTCAAACCCAGAAAAAAAAAGACTTTGGTTTGAATTATTTAGCAAGTGCCCTATTTTCCATTAAAACTCCAGAAGCCTAAATCTGACAAAAGTCTTTCCTCTGAAGGTAAAGCTAATAGAGTCACCATCGGAATATCTTCAAGTCTTATATGTTTAGTGAATAGTTTCCAGGTCACTAGTCACATTATCCCCCCCAGGAAATGAATTCAGAAATTTCTTTGAACCTTTAGCTCCATGAGAAAAGCCGCCTAACTCTCTTTTCTATCCCCAGTGTGCATTCTCAAGCAGAAGAGTAAGACATATTTGGAATAGTGGCAGCCACAGCCTTTTGTTGAGACAGGCCACAGGGTAAACAAAATACACCCAAGTAGAAGAAGGGGTTAATCATCTCAGCTCGGTATTAGGATATAGTTTAGCAGCTCAGCCTCCAAGAGTGAGCTCCGCTTTCTTGAGGTTCTAAGTGCTTAAGGAAGCATCAGGCAACCACTAAAAAAAAAAGTACAAAAAGTAAAAGTGTGCTAGAAGAAAAGTGCAAGTGTGAGGAAACAAGCAAGCTGTCAGAAGCAGCCAAATGGAGAGGTAAAGCTGAGAACCTCCAGAGACAAAGGCAAGCCAGTGTGTTTCCAGAGATGTTCTTTGTTCGAGAAAAGACAGGCCACCCCTGGAAACATGGGCTTGAGTCTTGAGAAAAGAGACACTTTGGGCAGTGGAAGGTGTCTTCTCTGTCCCCTACCGAGCCCCATGTTCTCCGAGGTAGCTTCCAGCCTCAGCTCAGCTGCTCTGGAATGCACGGCGTGCCGGGACAGAATGCATCCGGACTGGAAGTCCACTGACATGGCCCGATGCTGCTCATCTTGTATTTACCCAGGCTCCCGGCCAGTCACATAAAATTATAAATGAGTGTGTGAGCCCTTTGAGGAGTCCAATTTCACACACACTGCAAGAAAGGAGAAATAGTAAGTGATTTGCACAGATCAGCGAATGCACACCACCAACCTCTGGCTTATCTGCACATTAAAATTAGAGGCCATGTCTGGGAGTGACCACTCTTTCTGCGAGAACTTTGTGTTTAAATAGTCATAGAATTACATTTTTAGATCTGATGCCACTTAAGCAAATGTTTTCAGTAGCACATTTATGTATCTAACACATAACAGAGATGTCACCGCGCTTTTGCAAATCCTTGCAATGCTCAAAATACTTAGCTGAAGGGGCAGCAAACCTTCTGGGAAGGGCCAGAGAGTCAACATTGGAGATGTTACCGACCATTCAGTCTCTATTGAAACTGCAAGGCTCTGCATTTAGAGCACAAGGTGTCTGCATTCACAGCAACGCATGAACAGGGTGGCTGAGTGCCAATAAAACTTCATTTATGAACACTGATAGCTGTATCTCACATAATCTTTATGTATCATCAAGTGTGAGTCTTTTGATTTGACCATTGTTAACTGTGGGTCAAACAACACAGGCAGACATGAGCAGCAATCCATAACCTGCCAACCTTTGATGTAAATGGCTAAAAGATACACCTAGCTGCTGTCACCTCATCAACTAAAGTGTCCTGGTGCGGGAGAGGCAGTGCCAAGAAGCAGGCAGCCCTGTGCAATGCCACACTGCCCTGTTTCCAGAACAGCAGCATCAGTGGCATCTGTGCCCCCAGGCCTATGCATCTGTCTGCAGATTCCTGGGTCATCTGCAAGTTTGAAGGTTATTTTGGGGTTTGAGAAGGCTTGGTGGTGTGGTACAAAGTGGAGACTCTGGAATTAAGAGGCCTCGCTGGAATTTTTGTGTCTCACATTAGCTATATGGTCTTGGACCATATGATGGTGGTGATGTTGTTGCTGATTAGACCCGTTTATGAAACAAGAGCAGCATGACTCTTGCTATGTCTGGGTGTGAATGGGCTTCAGAGCCAGGGGAATGTGCAGCCTGCAGGCCTGCCCTGAGCTCCTGCAGCACTGGCCTGGCATGGGGTCAGAGTTTAGTGCCGTTTTATTTCCACCCCTAGGAAGTGGGATGACATCCGTGCTGTCTTAGCAAGTTACCTTACCTGGCAATGCTTGCTAAATGCTTCCCAGGATTCACTTTTAGAAAAGCAATGCACACACATTTTCCTCAAGGATGAACACGTTTTCAGTCATGTAAGTTGAACTACTAAGACGATAGCCCCTCCAGCCCAATAATCCCAACCATAAAGAGAAGAAAGACGCCACTACTCCTAGTTGCAGAGTGTAAAATATATTGATGGCTGTAAAGGGACAGCTTGGAGGCATTTCAGGTCTACTGAGATGGCGTGCAGCAAATACACATGCTCTGTTTTCCAAACAATGTCATTATGTTTTCAAATACATCTCTGTTTTGTACTAAGATGTTTTGTTTTTCATTAGCACAGTTTACTACTCTACAGTTTCTCCTAGAGTAAATAAATAGAATGGCTGTTTGCAGAGCAACTACAGACTTATTTAGATGTTTAACAAGGCGAGCTATTTCACAATTAGGTCGACCTTTAAGTTAACAGCAAGATGTTTTTCATTTGTTTTGTTCACTGCTGCAGTGGGAGTGTGGGAGGGGGTAAGTTTTCCAATTTATTCTTTGTTCACATGTTTAGTCACCAACAGACTCCAAAAGGTAATGAGTGAAAATAACAGTCTGTTAAAAAAATTAAACTGTAATTAGGCTGTGGGTTTTTCCAAGACCCTTAAAGTCAGATCATTTAAGTTTACAAGAGAAAAAAAAAAAAAAGAAATAATGGAATACTAAACAGCTACTGAAAAATACATCTGTAGAATACAGTGGTCAGTTGTAAACAGCTGAGAAGGGCAAAAGAAATTAAAGTCCTTTTAGACCGTTAAGAAGTCCAATGACAAACTCTGCTTCTTTTTCTAGTGGCTATTTTCCTACCACAGTGTTGAGCTTCATCATTATATTAAATAACTTATGTGGGTAAAAAGGAGTTTGCTAACCAGCAGCCAACTCAAAACCTTGGAGAAGAGGGAGGAGAGGAGTTCATGACACAGCACGCACAAGGGGACACGAGTCCATGTCAGCATTCGACCAGTCTGTCTCCCCTGGCAAGACGGATGGAGCTGAGGGTGGGGACCTACACGGAGGGGGTGTTCCCCTCCCCTCCTCTCCCTTTTCGTTGAAGTTAACAAAGAAACATGGGCTTCCTAAGAGCCAGCACTCAGCTGGACAAGTCCCATTAGCAGCAAATGTTCAACCAAATAAAAAACACGCACACAAAAGAAAGCTCCATCCAGGTGCAGAGCTGTGATTCACATGGAAATTCCAGGAGATGAATCATGTGCAGCGCTGGGATCTTCGGAGGATTCTTTCCCAAGTGTCTTCAGTGAACATTTCAGTCTCTGAGAATCTGAGGCAATCTGTCAGCTGTGGGAAGTCAGTTCCCCATCTGCCCTTGATGAGCTCGCTTGCAGGGATGTTGTGATTTTCCGAAGATGCCAGATGACAAAGGCCAGCTGCTCGAGGGTGGGGGCTGCAGCAACAGCAGCAGCAGAATTAGACTCTGCCCAAGAGGCTTGACCTGAGTAATAAAGAAGACGGCATAAGCAAGAATGTGGCACATTTTTTTCAGCTAGGACTAAGAGGCATCGTCTAATCCTACTTTCATCTTTCCTATGTTTTAAGTTTTGCTTTTAATTAAAAAGAGGGAAAATATCAAACTTTGTGGAGTCCTGGTTTTTGAGGGAGAAATGTTAGTCACTTAAATATTACTGGAAAGATGCGAAAGTTTTGTTTTTAGGTAAATCTGTTTAAGTGGCCTTATACGAAAATGAAACAAAGGTCATTCATTAATGATGAAAGTTTTAGGAAAAAAAAATTTTTAGTTATATACTGCTCTTATCACAGATGGGTTTACTGAGAAATGATGAAGCGTCTTCATTTTCACATTCAATGGCCATTGAGAGCAGTTAAATAGCAAATGACCAAGAAAGGCATCTATCTTTAGAGTGTATGTGTGGTCACCATTGATGAAGTGTGTCAGGTGAAAGATTTTTTTGGGGGCTAAAGATATTTTGGTAGGGACTAGAATAACTAGAATAACTCTAGAATAACCAGTCTGTTTCCACTTGACACACGTGGCTTTGCTAACTATCAAAGCCTATCTGTTTTCTTTTCTTTATTTTCTGCATATATGGGGTACAAGCCAGAGGTGGGGGGTGAGAGGATTCACCAGAGTGGGGAGCAGAACAGGCAGACTGACTGAGGTACACTACTGAAGGGAGTTGTAGGTAAGAGGAGAGGTCTACTGAGCCATGTGGGTCACCTCTCTGGTGGGGGATCGAACTTGTGTTGCAGTGGCTGCAGAGAGCTTCAAAGTGCTGTGCTTTAATCTGTTGCACCACTGTGGCAGGCCCATATTTTCTTTATCCCCTTAGTGGCTGCTCCCCTCGCTAATACCCACAGTACCCCAAAGCCACCCCCAGCACTGCAGGATATGTTTGGACCTGGGCTGTACATGCAAGAAACCCTGGGCCTGCCCACAAGGGGCTCCCACGCAGTAGGGAAAGGAAGCATTTCTACTACCAAACAATACATCGTCTCCAGTGGGAGAAGACTGCCCTGGAGTCCCGAGTTCACAGGGACACTCTGGAAAAGAGGGTCTTGGGAGGTGGCCCTGGAAGGGGACTTGAGAATACACGGGGTGTGGAAAAGGCTTAAATCCAGACTTAAAAGGCAACTTGTTCTTTCAAGTCCCTTAAAAACAATTTTAATATGAAACAAGTGTTTTATACTGAAGAAGACATCTTCACTGTGTTTGTACATGCCACACAGTCTACTTGTGCCTTGGCTTGTTCCTCTTAGGACTCCTCCCAGAGTATCACAACTGGGCACTTGAGTACTACTTGAGCACTGAGTGCTACCTGAGTACTAAGTACTAAGGTACCAAGTACTACTTGAGTACTACTGAGGGAGTACAGATTCCTGCCTGATGGTAAGTAGTACTGTATGCTTTTTTTTTAGCATTTCTACACTCTAGTAAACTCTTTGGCCACATTTCAACCAACCCAACGTTAAATGCATGTACAGACATGAGGAGGATTATACAATTCAATCCACAGTTTTTACTATCAACCCTCTCACTGGCAAGCCTTTCCACTCAGGCCACTAATCAACAAGGAATATGGCATAAAGGAGTAACAGAAAAATAATAACCAGAGGAGAAGAATGGGGTAGGTCTGGACTATTTCTATGGCTGGATTTCACAGGTACTGCAGATATACTTGTGTATAGTGTATAGATAATTTATCATTTTTAAAAATCTACAAAAGTGAAAAATAATAGCTAAGTTGTCCACAGGGGCTGCATCAAATTTAAGATTTTAAGAAATGGAAATGAGGAGTTAAAAGGAGAAATACAGAAGGCAACGTCTGTCTAAAAAGGGTTAACTACAAGATGTAATTCAGAAATCTTTTATCCACTAAGATGTATATACTCTCAGGCTCATGTATAATTCATGAATAATATTAAAGAGTACAGTAAATATCATTTAATACCAACACAGAGTAACCAAAAATTTTAATATCAATGTGCCTCTAGCAGGCACAAACTTTTCTAAAAGTAAAATGGGGCAAACAGAGTGGCAAGCTCGTTTATCCCAGGATCCCAGGCTTTGGCCACACCTTCTTTATTTCTGAATGACTAGAGAGCGTTATAAGTGGGATGCCACCATACGCCATTTTACTTTTATACGGAGTTGGAATCACAGGTAGACAGCATTCTTATTCCTTTTTGTACATCTGAAATCTTTAAAGTAGGAAAGAAACATGCCCACCCTTTATCAATCATCCAGGGCACAGGGTCAGTTAAGAGGGGGTAGGGTGCAGAGAACTTGGGCAGACTTCCAAGCACGAGCTTCTAGAAAGTTCTAGGCATTCTTCAGTAGAGACTAACCTCTCCTTCAGATGTGCACAGTAGTGAAAAGCAAGGAGACCCACCTTAGAGACTTCCATCTGTCTTTCTCAATATGGTTTTCAGGTCCTTCACTCTCATAGGAAGCCAAGTAGAGAGCTGTAATGAACCAACAACAAGGATGCATTAACACTGACGCCTTCTCCTGACATCACCCATCATTACCTGACATCACCCATTCCCTGCCCAACCTGAGCAAGCACTATAGCAAAACATACTATATCAGGTATGACTGAAAGTTTCCAAGTTTTATTTAGAACACAATTATCACTTAGTCTCTTGATACTTTAACAAAAACTTAAGATCTCTAGGCTAAAAAAGCACTTAATTAACTAAGAGACAGTCTGGGGGAAAGAAAGGCTTATGAATGCAAGACACAATATGCTCTCACACACTCACAAAGAGGCTGATAGCCTTGTTTTTTTTTTTTTTAAAAGTTAGTAGATAAAAGCCAGATTTTTCCAAGCCAATTTCCCTACTCTCTTAATATTTTTTTTCTTTAAAATAAAAAAGAATCTTCATTCAAAGATTAAAAAGTTTGTTTTTTTAAGCAGACTCACAGAGGTTAAAAACAATCGAATTCCCTCTGGAATGAGTAACATTCATTTAAACTGTTCTTCAGGATTATCATGGGCACGATCCATTGAGTAGGAGAAATGGTCAGCTATATACAGTTGATTTCTATAATACTAGGCTATAACAACAGAATAAATCCCCATGTCTTTTCTAAACTTGAACTCTTCTGGTTAGTTGGTGAATTTCTTCTGTATCACTTTTTCCACCTCAAACTCCTTTATATGTTAACAGGTCAGAATTTCCGTTACTTTTTCAAACAGTGGATGGTAGCAACTGACTGGGTTTCTTTCAAATTGTCTTGAATATCAAAATACTTTTTGTTAAGAAGAAAAATCAGTTGAAACAAGCCCAAACATGGGGGGAGGAGGAATAAAAGAGAGTGTGAATCCTTTAATAACTTTCCATTTTTGCCCAAAGCATAGCTGGCCCAAATATCTTATCGATAAATCATATGGCTTGCTGTGCAACAGAAGTCATCTGATGAAGCAGGTCAGAAGACAAGCCTCGTACCATGGAAGAACAGGCAGCTGTCTTTCGCTAGCACAGAAATGCTAGCGTTCTACTCACCATCTTCACTGAAGACTGGCACGGTGAGCAGATACTGCAGGATCTTCCGGTCCCTCTCAAATGGACATTCCACTTGTTTCCATGTCATAAATTCACTCACTTGTTTGGCCAGTTCCCAAAATTTCTAAAGAAGAACAAAAGAAAAGAACTTACAAGGTTGCCATCACAAAGTGTGAGCTTTGAAGAGATAAATTCATTTAATGTTTCCCTCTGGCTTCTAATCTTCTGAGCTCCATAATTTTCTTAATTGAACAAAAATTAGGTAGAGGTCTTTGTTACGGCAAAGGTGAAAATTTTCTTGCCCCAGAAAATAATAATAATGGTGTAATTAATAGTTCTACATGTTGTTATTAGTTTCTTAAAAAAAAAATTGGGAAAGAGGAAACTTGATTCTAGAATTTCAGAACCAGCTTTGGTCACTTAGCTGGGATGCAAAGCTTGAAGCATCATGCCCTTCTCAGATTTCTGTAGCCCAGCCTCACCTCAAAGTTGACATGGCCGTTTGGAAGGCGATTGGCACAGCCCTCATTGAGGAAATAAATATCTTTGATTAGAAGACTGAAGAATGGTATCACAATCTAGAGAAAACAAAAGATTCTGGTTTGCTTGGGCAAAAAGAGTTGTCTTCTCATCAAGCAGTACAAGAAATTAATGCATGACATGAACTCTGGATTACATCCACAATATATTACACATTTCTCAAGACAGCATTTTTCTCCCTTACATAATTTTGCTTAACACACAAATGTTATTAATAACTGCGACACAGCAAAGACAAGTAACACTGGGAGGTAGATGACTGCTTCTGGTGTCAGCATAGGTTTTCCTATTGTTTCTTCCAAGGTTAACAGCATTGACGAAAATAAAATCTGGAAGTTCTGGCGATCCTCAAAGGGAAAAGAGAGAGCTCTAGCTTTTCTCGTAGTTACAACCAAGTATAAACTGAATCCCAAAGCTGCAGGCAGCAAGATGTCTGACCCATGTTCCTGCTGGGATCTGTAATGCCATTCAGATTTCTACATTTTGGAAGAACCTTTATTTCAGATGAATATTTCACTTGGCCCTTGAAGACACTGCTCAAGATAATGTGAGTACTCAGGTTTTAGGTAATAGTTCTACTAGCTTCCTACTAAAAAACGCAGACTTCATATGACAGAACAAGCTAGCACCTGTCTTCATGGGAAATCACCGAAGTGACTTGCACAACACTGAAAAAGGCTTCAGTGAAGGAGAAAATAAAGATGCAAATTCAAATTAATGGTTGGTAAAATAAACAATGAACCTTCTTTAGTAAGACTTTCCTGTTTTACATCTTTGGCTTAGTGAAGTGGTATTTAGTTTAAATAAAACTAAAATAATAATCTCTATGAAGCACCCTAACTCTAAGCCGGTAATGAACAAAGCTCAGACACAGTAACTTCCACTTTCGGCCAAATACTAACATGTTTTTGAGGATTCTAAATTTGCTACCATGCAAATAATGTTCCAGACACAGATTGTGGGCCTATGCTGTTTACCCACGGGCAGGTCTTTGAAGTTCTCCTAAGCTTGTGACTCATAGATAAATCTACACTAAATGAATGGAAGGTCTGGAAAACATAATTTTGACTCATACACTTAAGTATTAAGTATCAATTTTCACTTCTATAATTCAGATATTATCCTGAAGTCATTTGCAAAGGGTGCTTTGGTAATTTTTTTGTATCATTAATAGCTGAAAACAACCAAGGTGAATCTTCAGTCTCAACAACTTGTTTGAAGAGACATTTCATCATTGTTGTTGTCTATGGAAGTCTCGAAAGCTGAATTATCAAAGGAACCCCTATTATCTTCTCCCTCAAATATCACTAGTATTTTTCTGTAATTTTAGAGCTCAACAGGGTGTTATGAATATAAGCACACATAAATCTTGATTCCTTGAAAGAATCACTTGTGAGTGGAAGGCACCAGGCTTTGGACTCTTCAATACTTGTTGAAAATCTGATTCCACAATTTATTGGTGGTAGAAGCTGAGTCTGCGAGCCACTGGTCAGCAAACTGACCCCGGCCTAACACCTGCTTTGGTTTGGCCCAGAAGTCCACATTTTACCTTTTTAAATGTCTGAAAAAACATTAAAAGAATAGTATCTTGTGAGTGTGAAAAGTATATGACACTCAAATTAGAGTGGCCAAACAGCTTTACTGGAAGACAGTCATGTCCACTCATTCGTCTCTTATGGTCTATCTCTGCTCTTGTGCTGTAACAGAGTGGATTAGTTCCAACAGAGACAGGCCTTGAAGCCTAAAATAAAAGCTTGCCAGTCTCTGGTATAAAACTAATATATTAAGAAAGCCTAGTTTCCTCACATTAAAATGGGAACAGTAGTACCTCCCTGACTTTTGGTGAGGATTAAATTATAACACGGGTTAGAACACAAATAAGCACTCAAAACAAACAAACAAAAAGAACAAAAACCAATGGGCCATATAAAGAGGACAAATAAACTGATCACTCAAAATAGAAGCATTCATCATCCTAAGGCAGCCCCTGGGAAATTAAATTACACTCAAGACACAGTATTGCCTATTTATGAGCACTTTTAAACAGTATTGGGCTTGAGATTCATATAATCATGTCTCATCAATATTCAAACTTTCTACAAATTCATGGCTTGTGCCTTTAGTTGGGTATCATGAGCTACACTGTGATTTTCTGCATTCAGACTGCCTGCAAGATGATCCACTCTTAATTGTCTGAAACACACTTGCAAGGAAACAGAAACACATGCATTTTCCATCACCACTCTTTCTAAAGATGACATGCAAGAAAGAAGTCTCACAAGCACCTTCAACTACTTCATTTACCTGCGGCCAATTCCCTACATATCTGTAGCCCTATATAAAGATAACTTCATAAAAACTGGATTATAAAAGGATTTCAGATGTCCCTGAGCTGAGAAAGAGATACAGGTTACTAACAGGGTAGTAAAAGTTTGGTTTTCTAAGAGATCTTGTCAATGATATCTGTAGTAGGAGAACTTCTCAAGCAATGTTTATCAAATCCTTTTCAAAATATTCTTAATTAGAGACTCATCCTTGGAAGCATTATCAGTTCCACACCCAGGAATAAATGCTGATGAGCAACAAGTTCCCACAAACAAAACTGGAATGGGTTAAAAGGCTTTGAAACCACGCAATCATATGAGAAATAGTTAAAACCTGAAGATAAGTGGGCCCTCCCTGGTGGTGCAGAGGGTTAAAGTGCAGCACTGCAAGCTGGCCATAGCCACATCAAGTGAGAGTTTGATCCCCAGCTCCAGAGGTGACCCACATGGTGTAGCAGACCTCTCTTGACCCACCCACTGCTCCCCTCAGCAGTGTAATTCATCAATCTGCCATTCTGCTCCCCACTCTGTCTCTGGTGAATCCTCTCGCTGCCCCTGCATCTCTAGCCTGTACCCCAGTTCTGTATGCATAAATGTCTAAAAAAAAAGAAAATCAAGATATGAGTATCCATAGGGAATATATACATTTAAAGATAGATAAAGAATATATAAATTTAAAGGAAATATAGCTATTTAAAGATTAATTAAGGACCCTACATGGAAGACCAATTTTTACCTAGTAAGGTGATCCTTTGGCCACATAAACTTGAGATATGAAAGGAGATCAAAGATACTATTACTCTAGTTATGTTATCACTAAGATTTTAAAATGAGAAATGACTTTTAGGAATAATAGAATCTACCCTCACTTCAAAAAGGAGTCCCAATTCTTTTGAATGAATGCTGGATATTATCCAGAAATATTCTCATTCTTAGACATGGAAACCAATTTTGAAAAAGGCCTATTTAACTGGTGGTGATTTCATTTGTTTTATTAGCAAGAAAGTACAACTCAGAAGCTCACACTTAACTGGTTAAAAAGTCAACAAAACTGGCCCTCCCTGGTGGCGCAGCGGGTTAAAGCACAGCACTGAGAATCTGAAGCCACTTCCGTATGAGTTCGATTCCCGCCTGCCGCCTGCCCCGGAGGAGACCACATGGGGAGCCAGACCTCTCCTGACCACCCGCTGCTCCCCTCAGCAGTGTACTTCGTCGATCTGCCTGTTCTGCTCCCCACTCTGTCTCTGGTGAAGCCTCTCACCGCCCCTGAGCCTCTGGCCTGTACCCCAGTTCTGTATGAATAAATAAATAAATCTTTAAAAAAAAAAAAAAAGTCAACAAAACTAAAGCAGACAGAATTTATTATATGACGTAAAGGGGAGAAACACTGGACATTTTTCTGGAACATGTTATCAGAGTCCCCCAAGTGTAACAGTCAGTGAGACCTTTGGGGTGGGTGGAAATTCAGAACTAGCATGGCCAGTGCTGAGCTCCCTACTAAGAGATGTACTTTTGATGGCCTCTCCTGGGGCCGAGACCCTCCAGCTCCCACTGAGGGCCAGGCAGAGGGAACCCTGCTTCACCAGGAGAGGTGGAGAGGAGGCAGCAGACAGCCTCCAAAAGATCCTCACACTCCAAGGTGCTGGGATCCTCCCACGCATTGCTAATTTTCTGAAGCTTTTAAAACATCCAAAGACATTGTCTCAATCTAGCCACAGGCATATTGGAATTTGGGCAAGTAAATTTAAAAGATGAGAAATTCCACTGGACTACCTGGGATGCTTAGCTCTCTGTGGCTTTATTTTTTAAAAGTTGATGTACTTCTGACAGTTCTCAAATATTATCAAAACTGTTTTGTATTTTTTGAGATCCACCTTAGATTTTAAAAGGGGAGGGGCGCTCTTTCATTTGTGTTTATTTTAGATAATTAGTGCTGAAGCTTACAGGGAGGGAAGTGAATAAGATGCCCTGAAATTAATTTTTTTACCCTCATTTTCTGTTATTTGAAGATATTAATTAAGATAAAGATGAACAGAATCAAAGCAGGAAATAACTTTTATCAAGCACTCTCCATCAGTCCTTTTACTATAACCAAGTATTTACTTCTCAAATTGCATGATCTTCAACCATCAAATCAGCTTTATCTTTCCTGTGTAAGGATGCAGAATATTAAAATAAGCCAAGAAGGACCCTCAAAAATCAAGAGTTTGGTCAATCCAAGATAGTAGAAAATGTTTAAGGGTAGGGCACACTGAGAAAGGATCATTAATTTCTCAGGCATCATGGTCAATCCAAGATAGTATTAAATGTTTAAGGTTAGGGTAGACTGACAAAGGATCATTAATTTCTCAGGCATCATTCTGCAACCTTCACCACCCACACATGCAGTTAGCAATAGCAGGCCTAATGCTACAACAACTAACCTACTTTCTGAAAATAATGGCTTAATCATGAGGAGCAAGCTAGCCCTTTTAAGACAAAAGATTACATGAGCTACCTTGTGTGAAGTTCAAATGTCTATTTTCCATTAAAGCCGACTAGTCACTAATATTTTTAATTATCTTTTAACCTATGACTTAATTTATGGCTTAAAATGTATCTACAACACAGGACCAAAAAAAAAATCATTTAAATAATTCAGCATTAAGATATTAACATAGACTTGCAAGGCTTCCTCTTCCCAAAGTACAGCTTTTCTTTAGCACTCTCCTTTTTGTGGCAAGTGACACATTTCTACAGTGCAACTGAACAGGTAAAAGCAGCTCAATGTAGTAGTTCAGCTGCCTTTCACACGCAGGCTCACTCTGCCATGAATGACATCCTCGGGACACACACCTTCTCTCTGCTACTATGTGCAGTCAAAGACCTTTGTGCTGCCCCACGAAGCGCCGTTCGATAATTGTAGAAATTGCTTGAAGGATCCATCTGATGCTAAGGACAAAAGACCGGAGAGTATATTTAGTTCTCTTACCTGTAGGAAGTTCACTAGCTCAGACTTTTAGCTCTACATAAAAATATGTTAAGTTAGGAATCCATGAGAGGTAGGATGTATCCTTTTCACACACAACACACAGAGGCATGAAGCACATAAAAATACAAATGTCTTCTTTGCCGAGTTGTGGTTGACTTTTATAGATGACATCAACTTTGAGAATATTACACCTAGGCTGCATTCTTCCCTCATTAACTATTGAGATGAGACAGAAAACTGATAACAAAAAGCCAAACTCCAGTCTAAGAAAAATATTCTGGTTTTGTTTGAAAGTTAGTGGGTCAGTTGCCAGTTAGCCAGGACAGTGACACCCCCCACCCCCGCCCCGTTGTTGGTGAAGGTGTTCTCTATGCTTGGTAACAAGTTACTCACAAATAATAATCATCCAATCTTTTCAGAAGGAAGAGAAACTTGTTAACATGATATGAGAGTAAGGCATCATGTAATATACACAATGATAATCCCCAATTTGGAGTGAAATGTAGGAAATAACACTTCCTAAGTTTCTTTTCTCCAAAAACCAACACACCAAGAACCAACACACCAAGGTAATAATGACATGAATGTGATTTAAACACAAATACCATTTGCCTGTATGTATTCACTATAGAGTACATACTTTTTCATAGATTAACTAACTTATAATGATAATGATAAATAATTATTTCTCGGGCCCTCCCTGGTGGCACAGCGGGTTAAAGCACAGCACTGAGAATCTAAAACCGCTTCCACATGAGTTCGATTCCCGCCTGCCCCGGAGGTGACCACATGGCGTGGCAGACCTCTCCTGGCCCGCCCACTGCTCCCCTCAGCAGTGTACTTCGTCGATCTGCAGTTCTGTTCCCCACTCTGTCTCTGGTGAAGCCTCTCATCGCCCCTGAGCCTCTGGCCTGTACTCCAGTTCTGTTTGCACAAATAAATCAATCTTTAAAAAAAAAAATTATTTCTCTGGGAGTGGGGAACCCTCCCCATGAAGTCAGTAGGCACCACATTATAGAACTTGTAGAAAAGACCCAAGTTTTCAGGATTCAAGTTCCATCCTGGAATACAATGTGATGTGATTGCCAGATCACCCTTTCTCCCATCAACTAACCCTAAATGGACACCTTTCACTATAAAGGTCTAGCCACACCTGATTTACTCCCCCTCTTCAGATTCTAGCCCCTTTTCTTTCCCTGGGCCTATAGGGAGAGATGAACTTCCTTCTCTGTGGTACTATCATCAGATCAAGCGGCTAGATATACAGAAGGATTCACTTTGCAGGTGTAAAATGTTACTTGTCAACAAAAATTAACTCCACATACCTCAAGAACATCAAACTTGGCAGTCTTCACTTTGGCCCAAGTTTTTTTTAGCCGAGAGACTGGACTCATATTCATGCCAGCTTCCGTATTAAAATGTGGTGGGGAGGAAGAGGAGAAAGAAAGTTGAAATAGAGCAATAAGACAAGTCATTATAACTTACATTCTTCAAAGTGTTCACTAAGCATAATTAAATTCATAAAAATCTGCCAAACTCTTCCAAAGGTAGCAGTACTATCTTATACTCCCATAATTTGCTTCATGTCCTCACCAATATTTGGAACAACCAGACTTTTTCAGTTCAGTCATTCCAGTGTATGAAATGGAATTTCACTGTCATCTTAAATAACATTTCACTGATATCGATAATGATGTGGAAACCTTTTTATATAGTTATTCATTTGTATATATCTTGTTCAAATATTTTGCCTTTTCTTTCAATTTGTCTTCTTATTCATGTGTAAAATTTTTGGGGGGGAGGATATATAAATTTGGCTTTTCAGACTCTTTGTTAGCTACATGTATTAGAGATATTTCCTTGACAATTTCTTAATGGAATAAGCAGAAAATTAAGTACTCTTGTATTCCTTAGGTGGGCCTTTTGGGTTCTCATTTACATGATCTTTCTAATTTTACTCATATATGAAATATAAAGAAGCAAAGAACAGACAAAATAAACAAAACAAATCTTCAAAATGTGACTGTGGAACTGAGGCTGCCAGGGGAGTAGAGATAGGTGCAAATCAGGGAGTGGTCTAATGGGCTCTCGTGGTGCATTATTAGGGCTTTGGTGATGAGGCCGTGATGAAAAATACACCCGGAGAGATGTGAGTCTATATTCCTAAGACGTAGATAGTGTTGTAAACCAGCATTACACCTCAGTAAATATAATAAAATAAAAAATACCTTGTGTTCACTGTTTTTATGACAGGTGCCAGATAAAGCTGACACTTGGCTAGTAATTTTATGATGTGAATACAAAACAAAATAAAGAATTAGTGGGGGAGTGAGGTTTTATTAGGACCAAAATTAATGAACTAAATTTGGTGGATTCTCTGGCTTCAAATTGACCCTGTCTAAAAAGTCAGGAAATATTCAAGTATTCAACGTGTACATGTAATTTACTATATAAATTAGGAACTTTTTTGCTGAGAGTCATTATAGTTATAGGAGGAAAACAAGATATACATTGAGAAAAACAAGAGCTATCCTGTGCCCTGTTTCCAGAATTTGTGGAAAGATACAGTCACTGTCACTAAAATCCTCAACATATAGACAAGATACAGTCACTGTCATTAAAATCCTCAAAATCTAGAAGAGGGTTAGGGTTAGAACGTTTGGGGCAATCAGTACTTGCTGCATGGGCAGTCAAAAATTGTTTTCATTTCTCAGGCCACTCTACGGAGCCTGTACTGATGGAATCATATCACTTAGCCTCACACCATATGTGATACACAAGCTTCCCACCTCTTGAAAATCCTTGATTTAGAGAAATGTCTCACATAAGCTTTTATATATAAATACTTAGGTGAGGTTAACTATCTTACTTACGAGCTTTTATAGAAATTCCAATGAGGATAAATTGACTAAATATATCCATAATTTCTTTTATACTTTAAAAATACTATGTATAGTACTCATTTGGATATTTAAGCATTCTGAAGATTTTCAAATCACTTAGGATTAAAATGTACATTTTTTTCATTAGCAAAATGGTACTATTTGCAAAATGGTACTATATTCAGTGGATATATTTCATAAGATCTATAAAAATAAAGAACATGTATCTTCCAGAAAACACTCACAGATTATTGCCATCAAAGAATTAAAGTTTCCAATGTTAAAACATTCGCGAGCTACATCAATGAAATACTCAATCATTCTTGCTCGGTGCTTCTTTTTTACAGGCTGAATAGAAAGAGAAAAGAAGACAATATAGAACCAACAAATGTAAAATAAGTTATGAAAAAATAATACCGAGAACCAAGACAGAGAAAATGTTCTCACCATGCAAATTTCTGTAGCAACCAAGTAGCTAAGGCGATTAAACCATTCCACATAAGCCTCTAAATTTCGTGTTTTCTTCCGTTCACTGTAACAACTCTACAGGGAAAGCAAAATGAGCAAGTGAGTTAATTGGGCTCTTACTTTTTGACATATACACCACTTCATTCTTAATTTATTGATTAGGAAAGTTTTCTTGGGATGGGGAGGGGGAAGGAGGAGAATCACTAACATTCTTGACTCTCTTTACATAATTATCAAAATCCACTGGTATAGTTAAAAGAATGCCCTACAGTCTAGAAATTACTCTGATACATTCATGATGGGATTTTCCTCCTAGGAAACTAAGTTACTCTAGGTAAGGTCTATCCTCAGAAGCACAATCCAGAGAAAGGGTTTTGGCTGCATCCTGACACAATCCGGACAATCAATTGGGCGTGAATTTTAATTGCTATCAACTAGCAAGGAGTTGAGGAGGACTAGAAAATTTTCTTCTAAGATTTCAAAATTTCCTTCAATTTAAAGTCTAGGACAAACTTTGGAACATCAACAGCAAGAAATGAAGTATCCTCCAAGGTAGGTAAATGGAAGTCTGCACCAGCACAGGCTCTAGCAAGGCGAATTGACACTGTGCAATCCAAAGGCGCTCAGCTCATCTTGGAGTTCAAGGACGAGCTTCAACAGGTTAATTATACCCCTCTTTCCTTCCTTTCAAAAGAAACAGACAAACAAAAACATCCAACAGCCTTCTATTGCAAAACCTAATTTTCACTTCCTGTACTTAGGGAAACTATTCTAAGGCCGGAAAACAGCTGCTGTCCCTACTCCCAAAGAAGGGTTTTCATTAGTAGGTGATGCAGTGTTTGCTCAACAATTCAAAACCACTTTTACAGGTCACATAAGAGGGAAACAATATTTTTTTGTATGTACGCTGATTTTACAGCACATGCCGAGGTTTACCTTCTTGACATGGCTTCTCTCAGGCAATAAGCATGCCAAGAAGCATTTATTTTAAAGCCAAGGGTAAAGGAGCCAAGACCCCATGCTCAAGTTCTGGGTGTGCAGCCTCCTGTCTTCATTACCTCTGTTGTTCTGAATCAAGAGCAGAGCACTGTCTGGTCTTTTCTTTCTGACTCAATCTGCTAAAGCCATTATGCTTTCAACTCCTACTGCCATCATCACAAATGCCTGTATCTACTTGCTTAGTAATTTCCCAATAAGGAGGAAGAAGAGGCTAACAAATTGATGATGAGGTAAGAATACTATAAAGGCACATGGAGACTTAGCTCAGACTTAGTTTAGACTTGCTATGACACAGATATGGTTAATGGGGGAACACTTTTCTGATTTTAAAACCTATGACAGAACACCCCCATTTTGGTCCCTTGTGCATGGCAGACTAAGGAATTTCACTTCTAGTCTCAGAGCTAACTTCTGCATCAACTGCTTACCTTGTCATTGTCCAAAGGGTCCTTCTGCACAAATGCCTGAACAAATTCTTCTGGCCCAATATAATTGAGCCTTTCCTGCAATACAAACCCAGCAGGTCAACAATATGAAAGAAAATGAGAAGACATGAACTTCCCATGTCATGGGCATTTTTAATGCAGCTTGTAAAGTGAACCTTCAATGCAAAAATACAGTTACTATGTTTAAAATCTGAACAGAAGCAAATTTCTGCTTGAGGCAATGTTCCACGAGATAGTGGGGGACTGAGCAATTAATGGGAATACTAATTAGAGAAGGAACATGTAGAAGGTCAATAAACTCTGCGTCAGTCTTGCTTATTATTTATTTTAAAGTGAATTCCTAAAATAGCCGAGGCATTCACACTCAAATTTTGAAACAAAACATATCCACATATGCCAGCTATGGTATACATTTTCCCCACTTGGATTATTTTAACCTCCTCTATGACATTACTGCTGACAAACACACTGATTGCCCAGTCTTGCTGTACAGACCAGGGCTATGCAACTTACCAGCTCTACATGTGTCAGTTGCTGAGCCAATGTGTAAGGGTCACTGCAAACAGTGATAATGTCCCTTTGTATTGACTGTGGCTTGGTCTTGAGGACTGTGAGTCGATCTGTGGATGTGGAGCTGATTTTTGCCAGGACTTCCTCATACTGGCTGAGGGCAGCAAGTTTGCGGATCAGATTCTGGGTCATCTGCTGGACGTTCTTCCTGTATGTCTGCCAGGGAATAGCACATCAATTTTCATTATTAGGCAAGTATGCACTGAAATGATTTTACTTTGATGTTGGTATGGGCAGTTTTAGCCTATCTCAAGTGGTTTAAAAGACACACGTGCAAACGATGTCTTATCAGACCTGTAGGGTTTTGTCAGGCTTCTCTGACAGTAAAATTCAGACTGGGCCAAGAAACCAACAAGTAACATTTAGATTTGTTCTTGAGGAAAACCAACGCACTGAGTACCACATACAACTAGATCGTGGGCTGGCACAGGAATGCACCTGTTTACTTATGGAAAGTTAAATGGCTTTAAGAGCAAGCCAGAGCCTGCTATCCTAATACTTTTACTTCTCAACTTCCCACAATCACTACTCCCAGTCTCATGAGTCTTGGGCCTGGATAGCTACCAGACAGAAATGCACCATAACTTCCATGTACCCACCAACTCAACTGATGCAACTGACTTCCAAATATAACACTGGTTGTCATGAGGAAGCAGTAGATATTCATTTTTAGTATCTGACTGTCCCTTGGCTCATGTCTGTTTCTTTTGTATTCTTGAGTCAGTGCTGATGTTCCTGACCAAATTCTGCCATGTGGCAATTCTCCCTGTAATACTACTACCAGCTACTGCTTGTGCCACAACCAGAACACTTTGGAGACATTAATTTAAAAAAAAAAAAAGTATTATAAATGTTAAACTCCTGATTCTGACACTTGTTAAGCAATGAAATAACTTTACAATCAATCAATCCTTAGGGTACTGTTATCACAATGCAAGTTACAGGATTTTCTTATCCTTCCTTTTGTAATCAAATTGCCAAACAAAAAACAAATATCCTTGTGGGTAACTAGAGTGCCTGTTATCAGAGAAAAGCACCACGCTAATTCAACTAATATGGTTCTTAGGGGAAGTGCTCTGAAGGAGGACAAGTCTGGTGACTTTACATGTGGAAGTCTGAAGCTTTACTTTCTAATTTGGCCCTTTTTGAAAGGTACCACAAAACCATTTTCTGAGATTAATTGTCTAAAAATGAAGTGACATCTGACTTGCAGGTCTAAGAACTGTATTTTTCACAGAAGCAATTTGGGTTATCCAAGAATATTACAGAAGACTCAAAGGAATAGATAGCTATTTGCTGAGGAAAATGTCGAACACAACTGGTTAGTTCTCAGTGAAGCAGGCGAGAGTGGCACAACCTCCTTTGCTTCTTCTCTACTTGGTGAGAAGCATAACAGGTGAGTATATATGGCACTGATTTCTTTAAGCTGGTCCATTATATGAATTTACTTCTTTTTTCTCTCTGCAGTCACAGACTACCCAAAAATCACTAAAAGAAAAACCTACTGTTTAAAGGGAAAAAAATAAAACTTTAGAAAACCTGTCTTCCACCCAGCATTAAGGTTATCCTCTTAGAAGATGCTATCTCTCTGGTAACATGCTCGTCACTGAAGAAGAATGTCTTTTTCTTTGGAATTCAAGGCAGGTCAAGATGGTGGTAAGGGCTATTTTAAATCCTTCCTTACTTCCTTTGCCTCTCCTACTTTCACATTAAGTCACATTGAGTCTTTCAACTTAAAATAGTTTCTTCTGTCATAATAAGTGCCTATAGGAGAATGAGATGCTACTTCTAAAAGCTGTGCAAATATTTCCCAGAGTATTATTCATGGTAGTTAATAAACACCTAGGAAGTTACTTTAGTTGCCGAATACACCAGTCGGGTACAGCACACAATTTAGGAAGCTTAAGTGTCATAACAACTGAAAGCTCCACATCACAGTAACCTACAACTGTCCCTATCACTATTATGAAACATCCTGGTATGGACAGAAGTCTCCTTTGTGGTAAGTCTTTCTGAAAACATTTGAATTTTCGGTACAAGTCTGTTTCCAACAGAACCATTTTTAAAGAAGATAAAATAGGTCCAAATCTATCACTGGATTTCTGTGTGGTAGCTGAAGGAGGATACATCTCCCTTCATTGACAAGAAGCGATTCCCCACACATGAGATGAGTGAAAAACAAACAAACAGAATGAACAGGTACACACACACAAACTGTGCATGCTACTTCTATGGATGGGCACAGATATGTAAGACAAAACTCTGGAAGGACACACCTGTAACTCAAAAAAGGCATTGCTTTTAAGAGATAAGCACAACTGATTTGAAGTTTTAAGTGCTTTGCGTGAATTACTTTTTCATCTTTGAAAATGTGAAATGCTCATATATTATATTACCTGGTTTTTAAAAAATAAACTGTTAAGGGCACTCCCTGGTGGCACAATTGGTGAAAACACAGCACTATGAAGCTTGCCACAGCTGCTTCAGCATGAGTTCAAGTCCCAGCCAGGGAGGTGACCCACGTGGTACAGAAGACCTCTCCTGTCTCGTCCGTTGCCCCTCACAGCAGTGTACTTCATCAACCTGCCTGTTCTGCTCCCCACTCTGTCACTGGTGAATCCTCTCAATGTCGTGTACCTTTGGCCTGTACCCCAGTTCTGTATGCATAAATAAATCATTTTAAAAAATAAACTGCTAAAACTTTCCCACAAAATAGGATTTCTTATATCCAGTAAATATGCAAAATGTTTAAGCAAATTTTCTTCACTGAGAAAAGCTACAAACAACTCATTTTAAATGATTACCCACTGGTGTATGTCTCAATGTCTTCTGCATGTGTTAACATTCCTACCTCCTGCCCTGCCCCCACACACTTCTTCAGGATGCTCAGGAAAACACTATCAGAAATGACCACTCAGCTCAGGTCACTACCTGGGGTACCAGTTGAGAATCAGAGGGTACTGGCTCATAAGCAGCTAAACATGGCAGCCTGGGTCCCGCCCACTGAGATGCCAGGTTAGCTTGGTCTGGGGTCAGTCTGGGGATCTTTATGTGAATTCCACCCAGGTGATTCTGCTGTGTGGCAGTGCACCCAGCACCATGATCTGCTGGAATATCTGCCCAAGGGTCCATATGCTACAGTTTCAACAGGCATTTTAGGGAAGAGGTAGGGGAATGATCAGTTAAGGGGTCAGTTAGTTGTGCAAACAGAAACAGCAACTATAAGGTAGAAATGTGCACAATAGGCTAGAGGGAGAAAATGGCCCAAGTAACTCGTGTATGTGAGAGACAGAGAGAATGTGTGAATGTGATCTATGATTTCTCAAAAGTTCCCTGTTGCATTTGATCCCACTAGAGAAGCCAAGCTTCTTGTTGTTAAGCATGCTTCCTCATTGAGTCATGAATTACTAAATATGCACTTAGTCTTTTTTATAACTTCGAATGCCAGTGGCAGTAATTACCTAGCAAATAAAGATAGAAGTTCTTATTATAAAGACCAGTCCCTTAAGGAAAAGAAAATTGCATTCTACCCACTACAGTCATTTGTCATATAATTCAATCATTAGTTTCATTTCATGTTTCTTGCAGGCAAGCCCTAATAAACCACTTCATTTTGGGCAGATCCCCAGGAGAGAAACACATTAAGCCAAGTTATGTTGAACTGTCCTAGCAGATTCAGAAGAACCCAGCTAAATTATAGAGAGGGCACACCTGGATTCACTGACTGCCAAAAAAAAAAAAAAGCAAGAAAAGAAATCCCGAAGCCCTCAGCAAGAAGCAACAAGCCCACACTCCTTCCTGTGGAGGGAAATAATTTTTCCATGGTGGGATTTTTTTTTCCTTGTCCAGTAATTGATTGATTGACTCATTCATTCATCAAATAACATTCAAAGCCAGGCGTTGAGCTAGAAGTTAAGGATGCTATGGTGAATAAAGTCTACTGGGGCAAACCAAGAAATAAAGAAGCAAGTAATTACCAGTCACAGGGTGTTATGAAGGAAATACTGGTGAAAGCCTACAATGGGGGGAGTGGATGATGACTGGTGTGGGAGGGACAATCTTGCCAGGCAGAAGCACCTAGGTACGTGACAGAATGGGGACTGTTAAGCCGAGAGCTGTAAGGACATGAGCCAGGGCAGTCACCCAAGGCGGAAGGAGCAGAGAACTCGGGGGACTTGTCAAACATTCAGATCAACCAGCTGCCATCAACTGAAGGATGGACAGAGCAGTCAGAGAACTAATACCCCAGGGTGAAGGGCAGGTGATCAGCAGGTGACATCCCTCCACTCCACCCCTAGGTTACACAGTCTGTATAAACCTGGCTTATCTTCTCATCTCTTTCATGCCCCAAACCAGATACTCAAGGATTTGTTATTAACATGGGAGCATGGATAAGCAGTCTGTTCAGAAGGTATCTAGCCCTGTGGACAGCCCACCTAACTCTTCAACAGCTTGATCCTGCTTTTATCAGAAAGCAGATCCTATCTGGCCACTCACAAGCCAAGAGACACCAAAGATGATCCATTTGGCATTTTCAAAAGACTAATTTTTTTTTTTTTTTTGGAAAAGATATTTAGGTGAGGAAAGATGAGGGTTAAGGACCTGAACAGAATTTCACTAAAATGAGGCACTGATCAACTTAAGAATTGAAACTTCAAATAAGAAAAGTCTTTATGTTGCCACTTATCTCTTGAGCAGCTTGTCATAAACTGAGGTCACGGAGTCAGTTAAGATCCTGCCAGGCAACCCAACAACTCGCCCATCTAAGATTTGCATCAGGACAACACTGGGATGCTTTGATTTTGCCTTTGTGATGGCGGGACCTGCCATTCAGGTATCTTGCTAAAACCTGTTACCTACAAAGTTACAAAATGATTATAACAGTCACAACTTGCAAAATGACTCAGGAAACAGCCCATTCAGCTTTATAGGAGAAATGGCTGTCCAGAGCAGGAGGGTTCAATATAATGCCAGAAGGGAACAGTAAAAAGGCTAATTCCCTTTTCATATGTAGAACATAATGTGGGAAATCAAGTACAAATTTTTCAAAGGCTAATGTTACATAATTTGTCTGATTTTTATTTAAGTTGGGGAAAATGGCATGCAAATATATTCACTACAAGCAGAGAGGGGAATATCTTGTTAAGAGGGGAATATCTTGTTACATGATCCTGAGAGCACATCCCTGAAATAATGACTTCTCAAGGAAGGTTATTCATGATGGGAAACTGCATTTTAAGATGAATGAACAAGATATCATTGTAACTGCCAAATGCTTTGTTATCTTTCTTTAGGTGAAAATGTTGTATCCCTGCCTAAGTAACTTATTCCCAGAAGCTCACCAGAAACTACAAAGACATCCTTGCCCAACAAGCCTCAACACAGAATTTCAGCCCTCCAGGCCTGCTTCAAAGAGGATAACCTTGAATTTGTCACAGCCAGTTAGCTCTTATCAAAGGCTCAATTGAGGGAAGTGATATTTGTTAAAGTGTATCAAAGAGAGAGCTTTCTAGCTCCACCTATATTAGGTGCTAACCTTGACTCAACTTCCAGGCACTAGGAGACTTGGATCATTTGCTCTGTCTTCTCCTTTCCCTATTTACCTCTGCTCATTTACATATTATTCTTATGGCCTCAGCTTTCCTCAAGTAGCATCTGTCATGAACACGGTACAGTGAGAGTTCCATGATGTCATTCCTCACCCCTCTGTAAAGACCCTCAAAAAAATGTTCTGGAAATTTTCATATAGTGTCATGCCCTGAACAATCAGTATGTTTTACAGAAATTATGTGTAGAAATTAGTATAGGAATTATGTGGCCACCTGAATTTGCCTTTCACCTGGAACTCATATCCATATTTCTGCAGTCCAGCCCTACTCTGAACATTAGCCTAGTGACTTTTTCTCTTCCACAGTCCAGGCCATCTCTTTCTATTTATGATGGATTCTATACTACTTATTATTTGTTCAATATTAATGTGTTATTTATTTTATACCTACTAGTGTTTATACCTATCCACCTATTTATTATCTAACTAGTTATGCTCTATTACAGTGATTAATTTATTCAATCAATCACTCAATTCATTCAAATAATGTTCAGAGCCAGGCACTGAGCTAGGAGCCAAAAAGGCACAACACAGAGTCTACTAGGATAAAACAAGTAACAAAACAAAAAAAAACTTGGGGAAGGAAAAACAAAGTAGAAATTAAAGCACCCTTGCAACATGAAGCCTGTGCATGAATTGACATGAACTTGCCCCCATATTAATCACATAAAACTCCAGATCATATCTCTTTGAAGTGGGATTGTATCATCATTCCCATTTGACATACCAAACAGACCACTATATGATGGTGAAGACTTGTCCAACGGCAAAACAGAAATCAAGCAGCGGAGACACTGAGGTGTACTTGAGACCCTCTCCCACTAAGTCTACACCTGGAAATTCAAGTGGTTATGAGTTACCAACCTCCTCGCCACTGGCTATTCGGTGAGCCAGATCTTTCAAGTTTCTCATCATTCTTTCATCCCGAAAATCATAAGGAAACGTTTCTGTCCATTCTGTCAGGAGTTGAAGGATCTTGGGAGCAATTTTTCTTATCTGGCTCTAGGGAGAAAAAACAAATACAACTTAGTGGTACCTACTGCATAAAGGATATCATATAAATAAAAATAATAAACGTCTACGGCAACTTTGGGGTGGAAGAAGGCAGGATATAGGAATCTTTTATGGCATTAGATTTATGCTGTGATCATTATACCATTCCCAATTCTCTGTGTGTAGCCACCATGCCATTTATGTACTCTTATCTAGGAAGCCAGCTTTACAAAGTTTAAGGCATAGACAGACCATACTTAATAGAAAAAATAAAGGTAAGTTCAAAATGTAGCATTACCTTATCGCTATTAGGGTCACTTATTCTCTGGTGTTCAACACATAAGTGGCAGACTTTGGCCATTAGCTCATAGGGATGCATAAATAACCGAGAGCTGAGTAGAAAGGTAAATATGTATGTCCTCTGTGGTAAGAGACAAAAAAATCATCATGGTTATATTCTCTGTAAAATAAATGTCTCCTCTGCATCTTACTTCATTGAGTTCTCTTGAGTCAAAAGTGATGCCTATTAGTAAAAAAACACTGCAAGATGGATTTCTCCTTTACCTCCTAATGTATCTTTTCCCTTAAGCCATACTAAAAACAACAGAAGACCAGGATAAGTTTAGCTCCCGAAATTATTCACAGTGCATTTTCACATCCATCTATTAGGCGCCAGGATCCCAGAACAATAACTCATTCTAGTAAAGAAGAATGAAATTCAGCCCAGAGAGATAAATCTAGCTTAAACATACCACCCATACAGAACCTTGTTCTGTGTCCAAATATTATGGTAACTCAGTAGAAACCACACAAACACCCAACCCACATCAGCTCAAGAATTCCCCAGTGTGCCCAGTGTGAAACACTGGAGTGTTTGTGTCAAAACATTCAAGGCAGGCTTTCAAGTCATCTATTTACTTGCTCAAAGGCAAAGCAATTTGATAAAATACAATCTCACTCTATATACTTTTCTTTAACCACACTGTTTCCCAAGAAGCTAGCAATGAAGTAGAGCTTATTCGTTATAATAGTTTCAGACTCCCAATGAAAAGAGAAATTCCATGGGTTGCCCTCTCCCCAGGCATATTTAGTGGCTCATAAACACTTATGGGATTGAACAAGGAGTTCATTTTACTGTTGGTTACAAGTTTTCCCTGTGTGGCAACCTATGTGAAAATGCCAAGCAACAAATCACACAGAGAGATAAGTCAGTAAGAAACATGATTGGGAATTATGGTGACTAGCACAAACTACCCTGTACACTGAGGCCTTTATTTATAAAAACATGGATCTGCTGTCTAGATAGTTTCATGAAACCTTTAGCAACAACCAGCTGCTTCATAACAGGGGCCACTGTGCACGAGGTAAGGAAAAGAAACATAACTCTCCCAGAAAGAGAAAGTCGGGGTTGCCTGTCTGTGCTGGGGCAGTCACGTGCGATAACTCAATACTCCAAATTTCAGTTTTCTCCTCTCTACCCTCATGCAATTGCCATCAAGATTGAGAAAATATATATAAATTTCAAAAGTATTATCAACACAAATTGTTGGTTATCAAGCATAAGCAAGCGTACCATCTAAGAGCCAACTTATATAGAACTGCATATGGAATACACATCTTGCTGTTTCCATGTATTTCCCTGACTTTTCTCAGCATAGTGATGGTCTTGGAAACAAAAAGGGTAAAAGACATTCTAGGAGCATCCAGTATTCTCTGGCATTACTCTCAAGGGACCCAGGTGTCTATATGCAAGAGTCAAGCAGATATTTCATGCAGATAGTATCTGACTTTAAGGCGATGCCTTCCTGGAGACAAACCGCTATGCAGACATCAGTCAGAATAGAAATCATATCTAGGTTCAATGTGATCTCAAAACAATAACCAATGTGCGATATTATATTAGCAAAGTTCTTTGCATCCCAGATGGAAATCCTTAGTATCTAGGGTCCCTGCCTACTACATACTTATTTCTGCTGAATTTTGAGGATGGATTTCAGTGGGATAAGAACACCTACATCCGGGTAGTAATCCACATTAGGTACTAAGTGCTGGATGAGTGCTTCCAAGGATCCGGAGAGGAGGTTGTTGTCATGGTAATACAACCCTCCACAGCTGTCCTCTGCAGACTGATACAGGTTTCGGTTGTAACCGCTGCTATCAAACATTGCTGAAAAGGGAGGAGTCTGAGGCATGCTTTCCTAAAATAAATTTAAAAAAGAGAGAGAGAAAACAGTGTTAGCAGGATGCAATCCAAACAGGAAACCAGACTTTCATAAACAGTGAACTTTAATAGTAATGAGGGAAAAGGCAGTTTTAAAAAAAAGGTTAGTTTCTGATACCATATGAATCCATCAAGGACTAAATTGCTCTTTAGTAGCACATGTATGCCTACTTTTTTTTTTTTTTAAGATTTATTTATTTGTGCATACAGAAATGGGGTACAGGCCAGAGGCTCAGGGGTGGCGAGAGGCTTCACCAGAGACAGAGTGGGGAGCAGAACAGGCAGATTGACAAAGTACACTGCTGAGGGGAGCAGCGGGCGGGTCAGGAGAGGTCTGCCACACCATGTGGTCACCTCCGGGGCAGGCGGGAATCGAACTCATGTGGAAGTGGCTTTAGCTCCTTAGTGCGGTGCTTTAACTAGCTGCGCCACCAGGGAGGGCCACATGTATGCCTACTTTAAAGAAACTATATCATTCAACTAAATATCATAAAACGCTTAGATGGAAGGATCTAATCTGGACTCCAGGTCAAGTTCCTGGCTGCCATATTTTGTTATCACTCCTTCACATTTGGTTGTGAAAGGAGTGGGGGGCAGGGGGAGAAAAACTGGGCTTTGAATTGCTTTATCCCACTGAGCCCAAGGTAGAAATGTGGAAGTCTTCAAAGTGGTGGAAAAGATTAGGTAACACTTAAAAAATATCCAACTAGCAGTGAACATATTAGAAGACAGCCAAAACAGGAGTTGTAAATGAGGCCTAGAATTAAAATCCACAGTGAGTGTGTGTGCACACGAGTGTGTACACGTGGACACATGCATCAAGACATTGAATGCTGATGTCTCAGCTTTTACTGGAAGATCGGATGCTGTAAGTCTGCACCACCTCCCTCTGTATCCAACGTTTCTGGAGTGTGGGGGCTTGATTAAACCTCAGTTCTCAGGCAACAAACAGGCTGAGGCAGCATTTAACTTGGGGAAGAGGAGCAGTGTGAGTTCCTCCATTTGTGTGCTTGGCGGCTCACACAAGTCCTTGCCAAGAGTACTCAGCAGAAGCCGGAGGCTATGAAGTTAGGATTTGGGTTCCTTGGGACAGAGCTCTGCCAGGCTCTGAAAACAGGCTCCTGAATTCTGGCAGGTTTGGACAATGGAGGCATTCGGGAGCTGCCCCTGTGGAGGGGCTCAGACAGCAAACAAGGGAGTAGCCAAACTGCAGCAGGAGGACACACAACCTGAGCTAATCTTTCCTTTCAAGAGGCCAAGAGAGATTTACATCCAAACAAGGGAGGGGTGTGGAGCCCTCCTCTGAGGCAGTAAGTCACTGCAGGCACAAATGGTCCAGCTCCTACTACCAGGCCTCAGCACCATGACGTATGAATGGGCCTCAGGAGGGGGTGGTCAGGCTGGTGGAGGGATGGAAAAAATGACATCCATATCAGGTCCACCTGGCAGGTGAAGCTGACATTCAGGGAAGGGGGCATCAAGAAAGAGGAACTGAAATAAAGCTTCCGCTCTTTGTACTTCTGTCCCTCCATAAAGCCCTGCTGAGGGGGAATTTAAAAGACACCATGAAAAAAGCCACAGACGAAAGGAAAGTGACTGCTGGGAGATCTGTCATGACCAGGATTCCCATGGCTGTGCCTCATGCTTAGCGGGACACGGTTGTAAGGTCAAAAAAATTGGAGTGACAGAATGTAAGCATTTAGTGCGCAAGACCTCACACATAGGAACCACAGTGCAATAAATTACTCAATGTTCACGTTTTATAAGACAATAGACAAAGTATGTTCCTGATCTCTTCAAATTCCTGTTTTCTGTGACCATGTTTCTTGTGAGATATAATCTACGCAAATGGGGCTATCCTTGCTGGGGAGGAAATAAATGCCTGAGAAACTCAAAATGACCTTAGACTGGGAAGTCCAGACCTGAGGTGAAAAGTTGCTCTGGGATGCCCCAGAAGACACCGTCCCTTTGGGTCTGATTGCCTGTGCCTAGTTTTACCACCTTCCCTGTATACAGTATAGGGTGAGAAGATTAACTACATCATGCTCTTGGAGGTTTTTTTCCTCCTGTCAAGACTCATGGCATTTCCTCTGGCTTCTTTTTGCTACTGAAATGAACAATCCTAATAAAGTACTTAGAAGATGGTAGTTCGGGATTTAGGAATTTAATAAAATCAGAAAATGCTGGCCCTCCCTGGTGGTGCTACAGGTTAGGATGCAGCACTGCAAGCCAATGGCAGCTGCTTCAGTGCAAGTTTCAATCCCCAACCTGGGAGGTGACCCACATGGCACAGCAGACCTCTCCTGTCTCGCCTGCTGCTCCCCTCAGCAGTGTATTTCATCAATCTGCCTGTCATGATCCCCACTCTGTCCTCTCACCACCCCCACACCTCTGGCCTGTACCCCAGTTCTGTATGTATAAATAAATAAATCTTTAAAATAAAAAAACTTAAAAAAAATCAGAAAATGTTAGAAGCTCACAAAGGATCATAGAAATCACTTGGTCAGGACATTAAAACAGATTTCCTTCACATTCCAACTTCAGTCAATTAGAGGCAGTTCTTAGAGGTTAAGGATGGGTGAGAAGGACTCAGAGGCTGAAACTCAGAGGCAATGAGTGTTCTCCATGATTAGCAAAGACTGCAAGACAAAGGAGCCCACAAGCATCAAATCTAGGCTGGTCTCCTTGTTTATAAATCTCCAAGAGGGAGGGAAGTGACCAGGATAGGCTTATACAGTGGCAAAGCTACCACACCAGGTGAGCCCAATGGAACCACCTGAATTTTGGCCCTCTGTGGCCTTGGGCTAATTCACAGTAGGCTTAGAGCCACAGAATCCTCACCAGCCACTCACAGTTCCCTCTCCAGGAGTCGGTAACAAAAGCCACCAAGCAGTAGTATTCACTCCCATGAAGAGGAAAAGGACTCAGATTTAGTGCAGTCCTAATCTGGTCCTTAACAGCAACAAGTGCTTCAGAAAGTCACTTATCCCATCCCTACCATCTGGGGAATGATTTCCAATCGTGCTTACCCCTTCTAAAATTTCAAATAACATAACCACCAATTTTCTCTTCAGCAAAGTTCTTAAAGGCTTTTGCATGACTCCCCAGAAACATATCACTCACAGGATTGTTTTGAGGAGATACAAATGATCAATACTTAAAAAAACCCTCTTAACAGCCTCCAAAAGGAAACAGCAATGGAAACCAAACGGAAGTAGTTAATTGGGGCTGTAGTTTATTATACGTAAAATTGAATTTAGTAAGTGTTATGTCATGGGTTTTCTGCCTTCTGCTGATTTAATTTCCCTGGAAGCACCCTGCTGAATGTGGACCTCACCACAACTAAGTGTTGATTCGAGTCACTCTGAGAGACTCCAAACCCTATTGCACACCATGATCTTACTTGTCACAACCTCTTTCCAACTCCTCTCCTTTCTGTAGTTTTACATTCTTCTATGAGGGGGCCCAGCACGCTGGAAAAGGTCTCTATATTCCAGTCTTGTACTTCCCTGCCCCCCCCCCCAAGCTCCTCATCTGTGAAAAGCCTAGAAGCCAGTGCAAGAGGCCCTGAGAAAGCCAGCACTCCTGTTTAAGGTTTACTGCCTAGGGCTGCCTTTTCTGGATGCTACCAGCATTCTTTTGACAGGCATTCTCACTGTTTTGCCTGCTTAGGAAAATCAGGTTCCGAAGAACTGTTATAATAACTCCCTTGGGGTTACACAATGCATAAGAGCTAGAGAGAGCAGGATTTCAAACCTGTCTCCAGAATGCAGGCTCAAAAGTTTTTACAAGACATCATATAAAATTGCAGTGGTCTTTTGTGACCTTTTAGTGTCTAGCCAGAAACTGAGAAGCCTACGAACGTGTCCCAAATTAAACTATTCGAATTCACAGATTTTTACATGTACTGCTTAATCCTCACGCCAAAGATACATTGATGCCATCAAATACTGGTACTGAAAAGCAACCATCAACAGCAGTAGTTTGGCTTCTCGGCTCTGTAATCAAAGCACAGTCCCATCTAGGCAGACACTTCTTTATATTTTAGTATCTTTGAAACTGAGAAGCACTCATAAAGGGTGGAGGGATAAGAAAATATTGAGTCTTCTTTCTATAATGTATGAAGGAACAGAGCATCTCATGGTGGATGGCACTTCAGAATCAATGAAATACAGACCTGTGTGCCTGTATACAAGTCCTTTATAATTTTCTAGATGAAGATCCTAAGACAAATGACCTAAAGATACCTCACGGACCGCTGATCATCATTACTTCCAGGCCCTGATAAAAGCAACACTAGCCACTTACTGGAAAGATCAACTACCTTGTGTAATAGAGGTATTTGGTAAACAAAGGGAAAGGTCAGCAAAATGTCGCAGACAATACTGTGCATAAAGTGTATTTTTACATACTAAACATAGTGGCTCTATTTTCGCGAATATTTTCCCTTTTATTGCCCACATGAAAAATGACTTTTTCAGTACTACTCAGATTTCATGTCCAGGTAAGTAGTTCAAGAATTGACACGTGAAGCTCAGAAGATTAAATAATGGCTTGTTTCTTAAGAAAACCCATACAGGGCCTCCCTAGTAGCACAAGACACTAAGTTTCAGCTTTATCAAACTATCAGCAACCACTGCAACACCATGAGTTCGATCCCTGGCTAGGGAACTGACCCACATGGCACCGTAGACCTCTCCTGTCTCGCCTGCTGTTCCTCTCAGTAGTGTATTTCAGTAGATCTGCCTGTTCTGCTCCCCCCTGTCTCTGGTGAACCCACTTAACTCCCACATTCTCTGGACTATACTCCAGTTCTTGTATGTGTAAATAAGAAAAAAGAAATCTTTTTTCTTTCTTAAAGAAAAAAAACCCATAAAATATCCACGTACTGGATATGAGAACTCTGAGAAGTGTTTCTTCCTGGGCAGTCACCTGCTAATGATTAAATCTAGGAATCATCTAGTGGTTTTCCTAGTG